GTGAGAGTGGGGATGTCCCTTAATAGGCTAGTTGACCCTTTTTGGAAAAAGGTTTTAAATGGTTAATAAATGTTCTGTTAGACCGAAAAAACATGTGTTGTATTTTTTTAAGACCTAGAAAGCTACAAATCTTTAATTTTAAAACAGAATTTTCATGGACATACTAAAACGCTGTCGGCCATTTTAATCTATAGATTGTCTATGCTATGATGTCAACTGTAGTAAACAAAAACTCGTAAGCACGTAGAAAATAACTTATCTGAGTTTATAATAAAAAGAACATGATTTCGAATAAATACCACGAAAAATAAAGTAATTATCATTATTGTATTGTACGAGAATATAAAAACACATCCTTGAAGAGTCCAGGAATGTTGTGGATTAAAGTGCCGAAAGAAATTAACCTACGCAACTTCATTACACTTATTCATATGTTGTATCAGTTTTATGTTTATTACTACATTGTAATACTAAATGCACTTTACTTACATAGATGCCTTGTCGTTTCTCTGCTCCGCAGAACAGAAATCGGGGTTTGGTGCAAAAAATTCACCAACCATCAATGCGTCAATTCTTGGCAGATTTGTGCTTTCTGCTTTCACAAAGCCGGCATCCATAATTAGTTTTGTCAAAAAAAACAGTAAACGGAAACTTTTCTAAAGTTAAAAGTGTTTTAAGATAAATTTATTCAGACTAAAGAATCCACCCATAACAACACGCGAATGACATTTAGTTGTTTACTGAAAGAGACGTCACAATCGTGGCGGATGTAGCGAACAGCGTTTTTAGTGTTTAAAAAAATAGACTAAAAAATATTTTTTTTAATTAAATTTCTACAGCAATCTTCTGCTTTTATGAAGTGAAATCGATATATTTAGGTTCCTTAGACCAAATACTGTAAGAAATAAACATTTATTTAATACAATTCGACATGAGTCAACTAGCCTATTGCCTCCTGAATTGTGATGTGTGTAGGCAAGTTGGGGCAATTTTTTAAATCGGGCCTGGGGCAGGAGCACGCAACCACTCTTGGTCCCTAGATTGTCCCGGCCGCCCTGCACGTGGCCGCGTGTGTAGCGCGATTGGGGCAATTTCTCAATCAGTCGGTTGGGAGCTGTCACACGGAGCACACGTATTTCGATCAAGATGGCGACAGATCATAATGAGCATGAAGTTTGGACACCAGTGATCGAAGTATATAAAGACCAGCCCCACATGTGGGATAAAAAAAACAAACAACGGTGTCGATTCCGGCATAATTCTCTAAACTTAACGCTAAATTTAACATCAGTCTCTCCTTTTCACTCTGTATAGAGAATGACAAGGATACACTGTTGTCAAATTTAAGTTTAAGTTTAGAGAATCATGCCAAAATCGACACTATTATATATATACTCTTTTTAATAAGTTTTTTTTTTTATTTTTTTCTTGTAATATTTTCAATAAATTCAATAAATATAATAATATTTTCAATTTTTTTTTATTTTGTAAGCAGTTACATTAATTGCTATTTCTTCTTTCAAATGTAAAGGTATTCATTTGACGTTGTGGGTTACTTATAATGCGAAGAGATGGCGCTGCCCTGCAGCATAAAAAAGGCTGGAAAGAATTGGATACGGCCGCCAGGGCCGCGGTAGCATAATTGATCAGTGCATTTGCCTGGATAGCGAAGGGTGCTGGTTCGAGTCCCGTCTGCTGCCAGGTCGGCGTGGATTTTTTTCTAATAATATAAACATTACTTATTTACAATACATTTCTTTCTGTTGCCAATTCTTCACCCAGTATATCCTTTTTTGCGGTAATACCATAGAAAAAGCCAAGGCCCTGCCTACCGATCTTCTGATTTTTTGATAACACTGGGACCATCATCAACGCGTGTGTTTAGCTCAACATACCCCCGAACACTGAATAGGGTACCCTGAGTGCACTCAGATTCAGATTCAGACTCAGAAAACAAGCGCGAGAAATACAGTGTAGTTTAAGCAGGTTGCCTGCTGCCACTATGGCCACCCTGCTTTAATCTGAATCTGAATCTGAGTGCACTCTGGCCACCCTCTGGGCGCCATATTGTGACATCATAGCTGGCAATTCAAACCAAATAGGTAGAGTGAGCAAAAAAAAGTTTTTATCTAATAAAACGAAGATTAAGTGAGAAAAATATCAGATTTTTTTATTATAATTTATTAACTAAGATTGAGAAAAAAAACTACCGATTTTTAATAATATTTTTTAAAAAGACTGTGTGAGAAAAAACTTTAATCAGAATCTAGCTCTTCAATTCCGGTCATCTCTGTATTACCGCCGGAGTAGTTATTCAATCACAGCATCTAATCATGCACTTTTACTAGGAACATGCATTCTTTATATAAACGAAAGTTTTTAGTCAAGTTTCTGAACGCAACTTAAAGTGACATTTGGTTGATGACACAGAGTACCTACCATAATAGAGCCCTTCTAACCCACAAACTATATTATAGTGATGCTAGCGCATATATATCCGGATTTAGGTTAACACCCATTCATAGCCGAAGCTCACTAAACGAAGAAAAATATCAGCCAATATTAATTATTGATAATTAATTAATGTTTATCAATATTTGTTATTGTTTGTTTACATATGTTTGGTTTTTATTCTAGAATTAGCTGATTGCTAAAAAGAGGGTTCCAAGATTTTATTGCAAACCGCACTTTTCATGCGACATTTGACAGATGGAGGTCATTGGCTTTCCTATTCTTATTTGAATCGCACTATACCTACCTAGAGGTATATGCTCTAAGCACTGTACAAACGTCATAACGTCGGTTATCTTGTGGGCTTTGTGGATACCTTGGTTTCCTTTACGATACCGAATCAAAAATCGATATAAGCTATGGGAGTGTACACTGAAAATCCTCCTATCGTACTGGCGGCATTGCAGACAAAGACAGAGACACCCGCCATGTTGGTGTTGAGCGGGAGCACGTTCTATATATATATATATATAGTGGTATCGATAGTGGCATGATTCTCTAAAACTAAACTCAAATTTGACAACAATTTGTATCTGTCATTCTCTATACAGACTGCAAAGGACAAACTGATGTCACATTTAGTTTTAAGTTTAGAGACCTTTCAAATCAACAAAGACATTCATAAACCTCAGAATGACTACTTACTTAAAAAATGGATGCGTGTAACTTATGTACGCGCGTGAGAAGTTATACTTCTTTAGCATCATTAAAAATATTTTTTAATTGCATGCAAATAATTAATAATTACAATAAAATAATAAAAGGACTGGAAAAGGATAGTTAACACAGTCAATTAAGTTCAGTTTTAATTTGAAAAATTAAATTAATATTCAAAATATTCAATTAAAATCACTACTGAATTTAAGTTATTAGTCCATATGTAATTAGCACTTGTAAGTAACTAAAACACGTTGTGTCTATATAGAAACTAGAAACATGTGGATAAATATTATAAATATGAAAACAGTGATCAGAGGCGACGAGCGTGCCAACATTGTTTTTGACAACGCGATCATCTTATGGAGCTCCGTGGATCGTTCAAAGTACCTTTCGAACAGATGTCTAATAACTATACCATTATTAGACACTAACATTCATAACGCGCCCGCGGCCAACTTCATGGTGTTACTATTGTGTTACAGTGATGCGCGCGCATCTTAAAATTTCACTCTCATCATTTTTTCATAACGCGCCCGCGGCCTACTTCATTATGTTACTTTTGTGTTACAGTGATGCGCGCGCATCTTAAAATTTCACTCTCATAATTTTTTCATAACGCGGCTAAAGAAGTATAACTTCAATAATAAGTAAGCTTAATTTAACATCAGTCTCTCCTATTCATTCTGTATAGAGAATGACAAGGATATATTGGTGTCAATTCTGGCGTGTTTCTCTAAACTTAAAACTAAATTTAACATCAGTCTCTCCTTTTCATTCCGTATAGAGAATGACAGGGATGCACTGTTGCCAAATTTAAGTTTAGCTTTAGAGAATCATGCCAGAATCGACATCACTGTTGTCAAATTTAAGTTTAGGTTTAGAGAATCATGTCAGAATCGACACCAATATAATATGCATTATTATATTTAGAGATATCGGTAAATAAATCACGTTTAAAACATTTAATTATAATATATTTCTCTATATTTTCTTTATATCTAACTAGCTGACTCGGCGAATTTCGTACTGCCCAAAAGTCGATGAACGTGGTTATATTTAAAATTACACTATCACTCTCTACAGTGATTATCTTCTATCTATATTGTACAAACATGCTTTGTGATTTTGTGACGTTTGTATTGAGTGAATGAATATTGTAGACAGGATTCATGGACACTTTGAGAACTTTGGTAATGCATTTATTGGTTATTATTTTTTATAAACTACTTAGCGGACCCAGCGTAATTCGTACCACTTAAAATGATTTGGAAGAAATGATAGACCCGGGTCTACCGTACCGAAGGGACATACTTCGAATGTTGGAGGAAAGTAGTTAAGTAGTACATTTTATGGGAAAACGAAATTGTTATTTTTTATATATTTTTTCACCTCAACATCAGTAATGAAAACTGTAATTATAGTAGCGGCACGCTATGATGGCAGTTTTGACGTTTGTTCCCCCATGAAGTTGAATAAAAATTTACAAAACCATGTAATATTGTGGTCTAACTATTATGAATCTGAAAACTTGTTCGAGTTTAAAAATTAAACATAATAATAATTTCACTTAAAGTCACCGGCCATTTGAAAGAATCTTTGAAGGTTTAAGTAAATTAATTGATTATGTTAATGTTATTATCATTAAAAATCGTAATAGTGTACTTATTCGGATAATCTGGAATTTGTGTTTTTCTAAATTCAAAATTTATAAACTTGAAATCAATAAGACTGCTACTTAAAGGATCGCTGAGTGTGAGTAAACATTTATGTTTTCGTTTCATTCAATCTTTATAGTCGGCAACTTCTAGCAATATAGGTTACAATTTAATAAAAAAAAACCAGATGTGAACCGTATTTCATTGTATTGGATTATTTTCAATAACGATTTGATTTTTCTCATCACTGTTGCAATGTTTAAAAACGGACATCACAGCGTGCCCTGATTATGCATATATTTATATTACAGTTATATCGATATTTGAAGAAACAATTAAATCGATATCTTGATTTTATAATCGCTGTCCACTTCACTACAACAAAACTTGTCAAATTTGTCATTGTCAAAAGTTCTTTCTTTTCTTTCGTAACTGTCAAACAAACAGGAAACATGGCAGAGGTTCGTGGAAATATTTATTTAAATCTTACATTATCGATGCGATCCTAATGTGTTTATGAAAATTAATCCAAGTGTATCGATAGGGTGAAATAATTTATGTTGTCGTGGTAACATTTTGCTAAAAGTGCTAAAGAATTATGTGTACAATTTACAGGTTGAGGAAATCAAGAAAAAGCGTACTTTCAGGAAGTTTACCTTCCGAGGAGTTGATCTTGATCAGCTTCTTGATATGCCCAAGTAAGTTAAGATCGTATTATTTCGATTCATCGATCATTACTCTGATCCTAACCTGCTTCCTTTTACCACCCCATATTTACTTATTAAAAACTTCATAGCGCTTATCCAGCACCTGTCGAGGTGCTTGATCATTCGGTTAGAGTGTAATTATAACCATAATTTGTAAGATAGACCTGAGGATTACTGTGTATATTACTTTTTCAATCAAGTGTGTATTGCTATATCCTATTTTATTGACCTTTCGATATGATTGAGAGCAATCACAGCATCTAATCTCTATTTCATTCATCGGGATCGGCTTTGCACTAGCATATGCATAGGATATTAAGGATATAAAAGTAAGAAAAGGTTTTGAATTTGCAGTGAACAACTTATGGAGCTCATGCATGCTCGTGCTCGTCGGCGGTTTGCCCGTGGGTTGAAGAGGAAGCCCATGGCTTTAGTGAAGAAGTTGCGTCGCGCAAAGCAGGAAGCTCCTCCAAATGAGAAGCCAGAAATTGTCAAAACCCATCTTCGCAACATGATCATTGTACCAGAAATGGTTGGCTCCATTGTGGGCATTTACAATGGCAAGACATTTAACCAGGTTAGTAAATTTGATGTTATGGCTAAATAGTGTAGATATGAAATCTCAGATTCCACATTTTATTCCAAGTAAGTACAGTGGTGGACAATTCTTTATTTATTTAATTAATCAATAAATAGCTACACAAAGATTATTTTATTAAAATACCTAGCCAACCTCTAGACATCAGGTTGTTGTCAAAACAATGCTCGTTTACAGTTGAATGTATAAGTAAAATTTTAATGGTTTTGGTTGTCAGTTCAAAGCAAGTATACTTTCACAAAACTTAAAAATAATATGGAGAATATCTAACTATTGATGATTTATGTATTGATATGGCTTTTTATTCAACTAAGACAATGTAATAAATAATCATGTCTCATTAGTGGTCATAAGTATCATGTTTAAAAATTCAATTCAATTCAGAATATCTTTATTCAAATAGGAAGCATAACACTCTTTTGAATTGTCCATATTTTTTTCCCTACCTCACAGTAAGGATTTTTTTTTGCTGTGGAGAAAAACAGGCAAAAAAAACTTCACAGAGTCAAATTGTGTAACAATATTTACAAAATATTATATTGTTACAGTGACAATTAAACAAATATTTCATCTTATAGCCTCTTGGAATATTTGGAACAGTTTAAACCCAAGCACTTTTGTCTGAAATATAATCAGACACCTTATATTAAGCTTTATTCATTAGGACTTTTTTAATAGTAGCTTTAAATTTATTTATGCTCAATTGTTGGATATTGCTAGGGACTTTATTGTAGAAGTGTACACAAAGACCATTAAACAAATTACTGATTTTGTGGAGCCTGGTGATTGGTTAAATTTTATTTCTAGTATTGATTGTTTTATCACTATTTATAGGAAATAAATTAATATTTTTTTGAACAAGTCTCTTGTCTTAAGATAAGTAAATTGATCGAATAGCCCACTTCTGCAACACAAAAATACTTTGAATGTCGGTAGCATTTCCCCCCAGCATGTACAATATTACACTATGGAAATAACTAAACTATACTAATTGAGTGGTATCTTCATTACTGCATAGGCTGCAGAGCTAAATCTGTTCAACAATTTCTCAATATTAGAGCCCCACTGAAGCTTCCAATCTAGTGTAATGCCTAAGAATACTGTAGTGTCCACCAGGTCCATATTCCTATCCTTGATAGTTACATTGGTTTGCATCTGCTTAACATTGGGTATTAAAAAATGTAAACATTTTGTAAAGAAAATATAACTAGAAAAAATTCCACGCGGACCAGGCAGCAGATGGGACTCGAACCCGCACCCTTCAGTCCAGTTTGCTGCCTTGTCTGCATGGAACTTTTTCTAGTTATATTTTCTTTAGATTTAAACATCAAGCAGTTACATGCTTTAAAATAATAAAAAAAAAAACATTTTGTAATACTTTCATTAAGAAGTAAATTAAAAGCATTAAACCAGTACTTTAGAGATGGCATTGTTCACATTGTCAATAAGTGGTTGCTTTCTTTTTATTTTAAATAAAAGTGAAGTATCATATCTGCAAACAATAGTACCATGATTATCCCTTACAAAGTAAGGTAAGTCATTTATATAAATTAACAACAAGAATGGACCAAGAATTGAGGAACTAAATTAATTTCTGATTTCTATCAGTTCCCTTTCGTTCTCATCACATTCCCTATTCAGTTGGTCACATAATTCCTTAGATACTTTGAGTTCCTTCAAAGTTAGTTAAAGTTTAGTTTCCTCCTGTTGAGATATAACCTTACTGTCAGGGCTGGGGAACAATATTTTGCGACCAATGGCAGCATCAATATACATATCGCATGATGTAATACCATATGGATTGGTGATCAGCCTGAACCTTGGAAGTGGTGGTGGCATTTATGTTCCATTTTGCCTAGATTTGAATCCAATCCCGAAAAGTGGTTAACATTTTGTTTTGAATTTTTTTAAAAGTGCAGAGATATGAAGAGTGAAACTTTTAATGTAAGGGTGATTCTCAGTTAAGAGGTAATCTGTTGTATGGAAGCAGCGGCACAGCAAGCAGCAGTCGATATTTATATAACTATACTACTACTTTTATCAAGAAAGATGATTTTAATATGAGAAGATGATCAGTCATTTTTTTAATTTATTCTCGTTTTACGAGACACCAGGGGAGATACTGTGTACAGGGTAGAGACAAGATGAACTTTATTGCAAAGCGCTTAGAGCGCATATTAGGATGTAAAGTACTTATCCGTGCAATCAGATTTTAGTGGAATAATGATATAAAGCTAAACAATTATCTAAAATTATATGGAATTGTACATTCTCTAGTAAATTATCATTAATGTTATTGAGCTATTGCATCGTTTTTATAGTTTTGTTAGTAGCCTGGCACCATAACAGCCAGGGGAAATATGGCAGGGGAGAGATATTTTCGTTAAAAATCTAAAATTGCCGTAAAACTACTAATTTTACAAAGATTACAAATAAATAAAAGGTTTGCAGCACTATTTAAAATAAATGTATATAGATATTGTAGTATTTAAACACATAAATACGAAAAAAAAATTACCAGGGTAAATACTTCGATCACTAAACACGGCTGCACTCATCGTGCGCCGTTGCGCAAACGGCCAAAAAAATTGCCGCGCGGATGGCTTGTGCAGCGCTTGCTGCTAACTTCACGTGATATTCGGTGTCTTCAATGTGAAAACTACCACAGACTATGGTAAACAAATACGATTTTCAAACCAAACCTAAGGCCAGGGGGCGAGACACGAAACTCGGAGGACACAGTTTGCGATTAATATTTTTTTATAAAAAGTGCAAATATAAATGAATTTAATGGTTACATACTGTAACTAAGTTATCAGGGTTCATGTTATTACCGATAGAAGAGAAATAATTAAATTTCAATGGACTCAAAATTACTGATTTACAAAAAAAAACGGTTAGGGGACAACCCAGGGGAGAGATGTTTTTCCTCTTTGTGCTGTTATTGTAAGTAAATTATGCACATTTAGAATATAATTTTAAGTGACAATTTAGAACACATTTAGTTAATTGAAATTATTAAGATTTTAGACCATAATTTCCAAATATAATGATTTTTTTGGCTTAGCCGTCAAACATACCTCTTAACTGAGAATCACCCGTAAGGTACCTACACACATTCTTAAATAAATCGATTTTTAGGGTACTGCACTTAATTAGGGTGGCAAATGGAACCCTCTTATTTTGCAACTACAGTCTGTCTATCACATGTCTTAATTTATTGAACGGAAATAAGAAGTCACCTGACATTTTCTACATCTGAACAAATAATAAAAATCATCCAAGAGGGTGTTTAGTTATGAGCAATGTAGGGTTTTGTAGTTACCTTAAAGGAGCGCATATATCAAACTTGAAATATTATTATTAAGGATGTTTTGATTTTATTGATGTGTAACATCTTTCCTCTCGCTTTTCTGCAATTATTGGGAGTGATTTCGTGAAATGGGACAGAAGTGTGTAAGAGGAAGTCGCGAAAGCGCGCGCTTATTGATTTTTAGATTTAGAACATAGTATTAAAATTGCTAAGGTAAGATCAAATGTTACACGTCATATCGAACCCTTACCGCCAAATTATCGTAAGCGACACTTTTGTCGAAATGCGTTTTTTGTGGAAACTAATATTTTAAACCGTAACGGACCCATCTCTGTTGATATTTCCCTCCAAAAGAACACCGTTATAATATAATAGAGGGAAGAATAGAGGGAAATATCAACAGAGATGGGTCCGTTACGGTTTAAAATATTAGTTTCCACAAAAAACGCATTTCGACAAAAGTGTCGCTTACGATAATTTGGCGAGTGTCGCTTACGATAATTTGGCGGTAAGGGCTCGATATGTGAGTACTGTAAAGCTCGCTCGTTTTATTTGTTATATTTTTTTAATATATATTTATATTTGAGTACAACCTACTTTGCTTACCTTACAAAATAAGTAACATTTTAACATTGTAATTTTAATTCAAATTTTGTACGAGCTTTTAACTTTTCCAACTACAAAATAAAAGCCAAGTAATATTTGGAAACTTAGTTGTGATACTTTTCCTTTAATTTTACTATGTATACTAATACCGTATTTCTTAACATATCAAGAAACATTGTGCTGGCAGTTGAGGTGTACAGTACACCTGACTATTACAAATTATTCTATAAAGTTTAATATTTCACAAACAAATCCCTTAATTGAAGAAAACTTTAATAATAGTCTCCACATTTTTGAAAAACTTTTTACCAATACCCCACTCCATAAGATACACCGAAAAAAATGAACACAAAAAATTTTTCAATATTTTGTTATATACTTTTTTTCGTGACTAATATGTATAATCCAAACCAAATTATAACTTCCTGTCTAGTTTCGGAGCTAAGTTGTGGAGGGACGGCACAGCGAAACTAAAAGGATCCCTTTTGATTCGGAAAAATCAGAAATGTCGTTGTCAAATTTTGTATGGAAACTTGAACAGCAGCGCCATAGCGGACATAACGAAAACTAAAAAACGAGCGAGCTTTACAGTAGTCGCTTATGATTTGTAACATTTGAAACCTCACCTTATATTAGTTAAAAAAAGAAATAAAGACAGTATAGACAGTACAGGTTATCATTATGGAAACAAATACAGTACAATATTAATTTATATTTAATTTAATTTCCATTATCATTTAATTAATTTATTTCTAATTTGCGCGAATTACTTGAAGGCACATTGGTCTTCATTTCATTTCACATGTCACAGACATTTGGTACTAAATTCCATTAGTTGTGGTGGAATTTCGGGGTAGTTTTGATGTGGGGGGGAGGAGGGGGTCTCCCCGACTCCCCCCCTACTAAAGATTTTAGTCGGAATTGCATGTTTTTTTTTAATTAACCTAACCTAAAAATTCATAATTTTTTTAGGATGCAAGGACTAGGGAAGTAAGAACCAGTAGTTCTGCCTTATCTCCGGCGCTGCGGGAATAGCAGCCCCGCCGCCTTTGCGTGACAAAGTCACAAGCATCGTGCGACCCGTAGCGCCTGAGGCTGGTCGCCGCCGGAGGTGGCTCTCCCTACGCGCCTCCGGGCTCTAAAAAACACTCTAGGGGTAGGGCAGACCAAGACCACGGCGTGTCGGGGTTGACCAAGTCGGTTCTGAATTAAAGATTGTTGTAAAGCCACATTTACCTTTTTTTCTAAGTGTGGAGCCCATACTATTTCTTATTTACCAAGTAAATAATAGTAAATATACTTTTTACCGACGTACACAGACTGACTGACATTTCTCAAAACAAAGACAAAACGGCGGGACATATGTCATTTTGACAATAGTACCAACATAATCAACATATTTTTTACCATAGACAACGAGAAACATGTTATTTCTGCATGAAAAAATGGCAGCACTGATCAAAATGGCTGTCAAAATTGACTTTAACCTACAAAAATATTAATTTTCAATATTTTTTTTCTCGAGTTCTATTCGTTTTCGAATAAAAAGATTTCGTGTGTGTGTTCCTAATAATTAATACTTTCCGTGACAAAAATCTTAGCTCGCTACTCAACCACAACTAATGGAAAGCTGAGCCAATCACTCCCACAAATTGCAGGAAGGCGAGAGGAAAGATGTTACACATCAAAAACCAGTACACATTTGACAATGACATTTCGCACTCGCAAACTATTACAATTCGATATTGGTTTGTGCTAAGGGTGGGTCCTGTTCCGTCCTTCTTAATCCAATCACAAGTAGGTACTAACCGTCTGAACAAAACGCAACTTAGCAGCGACGAGTCGGGCGGAACTTGTGACACCATGAGATGTTGACCGGCCGCATGCCGACAACTTTATAAAGCGGACGGGAAAAAAATCATAACTTCCTCAATTTTAAAGATATTAAAAAAATATTCAGTTTTCTTAATTGCGAGTTTAGTACTGTTATTTAAAAAAATATAAAACATTGGAAACTTCCTTATTATCCAACTGCGAAAGTTTGTATGGATGTTTGCTGCTCAAGCTTCATATTTCTTGCTTTTCCCAGAAGGTAGCAATTTCATATTCATTCATTAGAATTTGGTTGCTCTTGTTATATCATTATATTTCAAAATGACTGTTAAAGCACCAGGAATAGTCATATACAATAGGTAATTTGACTAGTTTTTCAGTTCATCAAGTCCAAAAGTGTTTATCAATTTTTTTTTCTTTGTCTCATAGGTTGAAATCAAGCCTGAGATGATTGGCCACTACCTTGGAGAGTTCTCCGTGACGTACAAGCCTGTCAAACACGGTAGACCCGGTATCGGTGCTACCCACAGCTCCAGATTCATTCCACTGAAGTAGATGGAGACCGAAGCCACCTTAGGTTAAGTGTAAAAAAAATAACACAGTTACTCAATAAAGTATTATGTGTTAACAAAATATCTTTCATTATATTTTTATTTTAAGCATTTAACTGCTTGATTTATAAATCTAAAGAAAATTAAATCAATACCTGACTGGACCTTTAGGAATTCATTCTAGTAAAAAGGAGATGGCTATGGGTGTAGTAACATTCAGCCAAAGACTAATCGAAATTGTTTAAATTCAATAAAAACAAATCTATTTTGTAAAGATCGATAAAATAATTTTTTTCTTTTTATTACACTGTGGTATTAATATCCATAAATATATTATCATTTTCACTAGATGCAAATGTGCTCAGACAATTATTATAGATGGTAGGCGACATCATAAAGTCTATTGCCATACATTTTTCGCCAAACACCTCCATAAACACATTATAATCTGTATATATGTTAAACTTTAAGGTATCTATCTATGGGCCTACGTTCCCTGACTATAAATTAATAAATAAATAAAATTATAAGGTGTGATACACTAGTAACTAAAATATGGTTATCTTAAAAACATAACAAAAATAATGAAGCTACTGAATATATGGCTATAGAACCTAAATCTCTTAGCTTTCTTTGGTTAACGAGAGTTTAAAAATTCTCTCTAATCTGTGGCTCATTCACAATCATCACACAGTTTCTGTCACAGAGTACTTTATTATAACCGGAAATGACACCTGATTTTAAAAGTTATTCTTATGCATTAACTTTAAAAACAGACAACTATCTGTTAATCTACATGCTCTATATACCTGAATCTAATCCATAATTTCGGTACTTGGCTTGATTTCCCTAGTTTACTATATAACTTATTTGTTGTTTATTATTTTAATATGTTCAGGGTATATGGTTTATAGAAGTTCTCAGGGGTGTCCGTCAATAAAATTCGTTTCTACAGTAATTTATAGATAATTTCGAATCTAGGAAACAATTTTTCATGATTATTGGTTTTTAGGCCAAACATGTATGGAAGCTGAGCAATCTCCTTTCTAAAGATTTAAAAATCTGTAGTTATATCCCTTAGCCTAGCTTATACCACAGATTCCTATACTGCAATCATAATAGTAGCCGCCCAAGCGGGGATTTTTGGCTTTACTCGAGCGCGGCAGAATAACATATGGGGAGCTACCTTGCACCTAGATAAGTACTCCCACCATACCTGAGCCCTCTATGTAGGGCCGAACGTCTAGGGCAGCAAAAACAAAATTTCAACAAACGGCCATGACTTTTGGTCGGGTCCAAATCGTCAGTCTTTTGAATAGGACGAAGGAGGAGGAGCTACTGGAGGGTTCACGTAACATCCCTTCTCAATGTCTGACGCGCTCGGTTATTTTTTCCTGTATTCTACCCCTTCTTAAGGTATGGTGGGAGTACTTAACTAGGTGCAAGGTTGCTCCCCATATGTTATTCTGCCGCGCTCGAGTAAATACAAAAATCCCCGCTGGGGCTCCCCTACTATAACCTCATAACATGTTCATATTGTTTAGAGCAGTCGAAATCATCCGTTTGTTTGTTAGTGTTTATTTGTAAACATGGCCTTAGATCTACTCGATGGGTCCCGAGTTCGATTCCCGTTGGGGCAAATTTTAGTATGATGAATACATATGTTAGTACAGTGCCCGGCAAGTAAGTTGAATCCAAATTTTAGTTTTCAGCGCATGTTTTTTAACAGAAAAACATCATAGCACTGAAGAATTATTAACAATACAATATCTAATGAAACACAGCAACCGTTTTGTTCAAAAAACATTTAGTTTTGTGTCGTTTTTCTGTAAAAAAACATGCAGTGAAAACTAAAATTTGGGTTCAACTTACGTGCCGGGCACTGTAAGCACCTAAATAACACCGTCGTCTATACGACTTGTGACGTGGAGTGGTGACCGGCCTCGGAACCGCCGGAACACAACACTAGCCAAAGCTCTTCCTTCTTGAAATTCGCCAGTTCTTCCGTCGGCACCCTCACCGCAAAGGAATTAAAATTCACATTGTGACGGGACGCCAACTATGCGACTCTCAGAAAGAACTTGGTCTTTTTTAGCAGGTACTTACGATTTTATCTTTTTTCGTAGAGTAATACAGTCGGGACACATAGCAGCGTCGTCGGTATTAAAAGACGCAGCCGATGTTTTGGTCCAGTCGGGGCAACACTACACAAATTTCGACGAGCAGGCTTCATCTTCTTCCTTTCCACCTTGATGAAGCCCTGTTCGTCGCAAAACTGATATTGTGATACTGCCGGAGAAGCGCCTTTGACGTAGAGTTTGCTGCTCTTCTCTTTAGGGTGTTCATCGTCAGGCCGGCTGGTAGCCGCAGCTGCGTACGCACTTTGCGGTGTTGGGTGTTGAGGTGCATGCGCGTGACGTGTCCTGGATTTATCAATACGATACAGAAAAGAGTCAGTCGCCAGTCGAACCAACGCCTACGAAAGTGAAGCGATCGAGGAGCGCAGGGAAAAGTTTGATCGGTAGTTTCTTTATTTTGACGGGGTACCTAATTCCAATTCCACTTCGAGACTAAAGCAGCATCAACGCCGAATGGTGCAGCATAAAATGCCTGCTAGAAATTTTTTCTGCAATGAGCAACAAGCGATCTTACACCCGGCTCCGCGGGGTCCTTCTTCACCACAACAACGCGCCCGCGCACTCTGCGATCAAAACGAAGGACTTCCTGATCTCCACACCAGTGAGTCTTGGGACACCCTCCTTACAGTCCTGATTTGGCTCCGTGTGACTTCATTTTATTACGTTAATAAAAATCAGCTCAAAGGGATACAAGTTTCATCGCCGGAAGAAGCGCTAGCAGCGATTGAGAAGGCCGTGGAAGAGGTGTCTGCGGAAGACTGGAAAAAATGATAATTGTTCAACAGGAGAAGCTAAAAGGTCACTCTGAAAACGCAAACAGAGCGGCTCCACTCCCGGGCATGCCCTAGACGAAGGAAGCGCTTCTGGCCTCGGCAAGATGAGCCAACTCCATTACACCCAAAGACGGGCATAGTATTTTACTAAAGAGCTCGGCTGTACCAAGCGGGAAGGGCAATATGGGAAATATGACGAGTACCTAGACCAACTAGACCTCCGAAACGAACAGGGAGGGAGGCCTGCTTCTAAGCGTTATCCGAAAATGAACAGTTTAAAATTTTGGAGAGTGTCTGTCTGAGCGAATTGTCAATAATTGCCAGATGTCCTGGAAAAAGCCAAAAAAGAGTGCTTCGTAAAAAATATATAAATTTTAGGGCGAACGTGCAAAAACGAATTAAATATAAAGCCATGTGCGGGTTAATTTTCAACATTTTTTCGGAGGAATGCTGGAATTTAGAAATTTGCCACTTTCCTCCAGCCAGTTCTTGAGCTCCATTGCACAGGGCAATCTTACGAGTTCACCGAACGTCGTCGTCTCTCCTGCTCACCTAACTTGTCCAACTCCTTTTCAACTTGGCACAAACATGCAATAATGAAGTTTTTAATACAACTGAAAAATAATTAGTGGAGTTGAGAGTAGGCAAATCAAAGAATGGCCAAGGATAGAACTTTCTGCAAAATTTTAAAAAACTAAAAAAATATGAATGAAATCTCTGGAACCTATTTTAATGAATTTTATGATTCAGTTACAAAATACCTCTATAGCAACTATGCTTCTTGAGCTCTTCCTTAGTGGCAGCTAGTTGTGTATCAAGAATAATAATGGATGCCATAAAATAATAAAAAATCCTCGTAGACAACGGGTTGCAAATCGAAAGTGGCATGGGGCGCCAGATATCTAAATGATCCTCATAAAATAATAAATAGTCACCTTACAATTGGTAACTTAAAGGTAAGGTTAGGTTACCAATTGTATACGTAAACCCTCCAGTAGCTCTTATTCAAAAGACAGTACACGGTGCGTGCAAAAGTCATGGCCGATTGCTGAATTTTTTTTTGCTATCCTGGACGTTGAGCCCCATTAAATGCTCAGGTATGATTTCACAAAATGCAAGATGACATTTATGTCTGCCTTTTAAGGCAGAATGACATAGCCCTCGGTGCAAATCTTATGTGGCCCAGGGGCGCCAGACCAGCAGGTTGAGTAGGCTTGATCTAAGGGCGGCAGATTTTTGGTGCTGCAAAAGGGACCGATTTTTTTCCTACCTCATAGAAATCTAAAAGATTTTGGCATGACGGTTTTCTGATTTTTGCATGACGGTTTTCTGGTTATATAATAGCTATTAACGGGATAGTTACCATGTACCTTGTTTTTTATGAGTCTCCGATATTTCGACAGAACGCCACTACATACCAAGATTGGTCAGGGAAGCGATTGAAATAACCAAACACAAGAATTTCAATCGTGAGGATGGGTTTAAATTGTCAAGTGTCTGGAATCCAGTGGTTCGTATGTGCAAAAACCGCAAAAATCAAAAAAGTGTCGTTCCGCGATCTGATACTGTGAGTATTGTATGAAGGGAAAAAGTGCGAGGGAATAGTGAGAATGTGACCAGTGGTAGGGGTATCGAGCGCAGTAAAAGACGACGTCAGCGGGTAGACCGATATCTCTGCCAATAACATCTACCCGCAATTACTTCAGCAACAGTGCCGAAATATTGGAGACTCATAAAAAACAAGGTACATGGTAACAATCCCTTTAATAGCTATAATGTTAGTGACCATGAAAGTTTAAAACAATATAAGGTTTTCTGATGTCTTACAGATAGAAGTCTGCAACAAATTTTGCCGATGACTTTCCTGTCTCACTTGTCATTGCACATTGCGAGAGTAGCAATGTTCTATAATCTAGGGTAAAGACGCGATTACACTTGGTCATTAGTCCGTATTCGGGTGCACGAAAGACATAACTCGAATTCGGGCACACCTAGAGTGAATAAGTGTTTCGTCGAATCGTAACCGAATCGTTTACCCGTATTCCATTGGCACTCGTATTCGGGCTAACGAACTAGTGTAATCGCGACATATGTGTAAACTAGCGGCCCGCCCTCGCTTCGCTTCGGTGTAGAGCTGAAGTGTAGACTACAGTTTTTGTTCTCAGGTTTGTAT